CCCTCTGCCCCTGTCTCCCACTCATGCTCTCTTAAAGAAACAAAACAAAACCAAAAAAAACCCAATACTTGTCTTACTTTGGTTGTATTTTAAAAGCATAAATCCAAGTTTATATATAACATCTAAGTAAAGTCTCGTAAGAAACCTAACTATGAAATATATTTGGATACATTTCATTACTCAATTTTTAAAAAACTGAACTAAAGAAATTAAGTAATAAAGGGATTAAGGTATAAAGCTAATAAATGACAAATCCAGCAACTGAGGTGACTGCCAGTGTAGTATGGGATCTATAAAATATTTTTGAGCACATACTAAAATTTATGTATCATTTATAACACTAAGAACATTTTAGAACATATACAAAAAGATTAAAATAAATGTAAATTGAAGGTCTGAGACTTTTTTTAACCTGCTCTCATAATACCTGATTATTAGTCAATAGGACACATACAAATTTATACTCTGAACTAAAATAAATTTGCATTCCTCAATGCTCACCTTACAGAAAATGAAACCTAAAGGTCCTTGGGTACTATAGGCCCTAAGTTATGAACAAAAATGTAAAAGATGTGAAAGGCATTTTTGAGGCAAAAATTAAATTTGATACCATTTAGATATAAGGGTCATAAGATAAGACATTCAGAATGCAAATGCTGCATGAGTTATGGAATATGAGATAAGACCTCTAAGTTTAGTTTTGTATTAGTATTAATTTGAAAATCTTCAAAGGGGATATTCAGCTTTTCTCTAATAAAAAGAATCTGTTAAATCTGCGAACTGAGACTTTCTGACAACTTTCTGAACTTGGATGATTTTCTTTTTCTTGTTTAACGCATAGAAGTCAAAAAGCATATCAATACAACCTTTTTGTCTGTTTTATGTTCTTTTGTGTTTGGCTTCTCCTCAACATTGTGTTTGTGAGAAACCCATACTTCAGTCTGTCGCTGTAATATTCATCCTTCTCCAGGATTCCATTTTGACTTCTATTTTTAAAATACCCTGATTCAAATGGCCTTAAACAATAAGGAAATATGGGGCACCTGCATGGCTCGGTCAGTTAAGCGCCCAACTTCGGCTCAGGTCACAATATCAGGGTTCGTGGATTCCCCACATCCGGCTCTGTGCTAACAGCCAGCTCAGAGCCTGGAGCCTGTTTCAGACTCTGTATCTCCCTCTCTCTCTGACCCTCCCCTGCTCACTCTCGCTCTCTCTCTCTCTCAGAAATAAATAAATAAACAGTTAAGGGGAAAAAAAAGGCAATAAGGAAATGTATTTTCTCACATAACTGAAAGTCCAGATGGAGGACAGGCTCCAAGCACGATAAATGGAGCTGCAGCAACATTATCAAGAGAGAAGTTCTTTTCCATCTCTCTGTAGCACCATTCTTAGGATTACATGATCGCTGCCAAAGGAAATGGGACCATATGCTTTCTTTCTGCTTCTAGCAAGACAGAGGGACAACCCCTCTCCTGACCAAGGAATAGAAATCTTTCCTTTTAGTCTCCTTGGGCCATATTCATCAAATAAGTAGGCAAAATTTTCAAAGATCTACTCTGCCCTTCCAAAATAATCTACCCATCTAGTTTCAAGAGTCCCATATGTAAAATTTACAAAAATGTAAATGAATATGTAACCCCACTGTTATTTAAGCTGTTATGTAACACAAAGAGTGAACAACAAAATATTTTTATGGAGTAAGTAGAACCATGGCCATGGTAAAGACTGTAAAATTAGGAAGGTACTGGACAATCATATCATGCTTAATAGAGAAAGCCAGAGGCATTCCTAGTAAAACTAAATAACTTCTTTGAGTAAGTCCTGGGATATAATATACACTGTAGTAACTATACATAACAATACTATATCATATATTTGAAAATTCCTAAGAGAGTAGATCATAAAAAGTCCTCATCACAAGGAAAAAAATTGTAACTACCTGTGGTTATAAATCCTGACTAAACTTACTTAGGATTTTGCAATATGTACATACATCAAATCATTCCATTTGTCCTAAAACTAACATTATGTCAATTACATATCAATTTAAAAATTTTTAAATAAATTTTTCTTTTTAACCTTGAAACATTTATGCATAGTTTTTGTTCATTAGTTTCCTCATCATAAATAGGAGAGAATAATATTACCTAGAATTGGGGGTGCCTGGGTGGCTCAGTCAGTTAAGCGTCTGACTATTGGTTTCGGTTCAGGTCATGATCTCACAAGTTCAAGACCCATATTGGGTTCTACACTGACAGTGTAGGGACTGCTTGGGATTCTCTCTCTCCTTCACTCTCTGCCCCTCCTGTTTGCGCCGTCTCAAAATAAAATAAAGTTAAAAAAAAAAAAAACTCTAAAAAAATCCATTACCTAGAAATAGGATGCACATATTCTAAGTTAAGGAGTGTGACGTGTACATAGTTTGTGCGAATTGTTAAATTGTTGGCAAAGTCTGAAGGATGCTAGGCTGATGCTCTCCAAGGTCTCTTTCAACTTTACAGGTTGTAGAATGCTAGTATATAAGAAATATATTTCTCCATCAACTTAGAAACCTAGATTGACATATGAAATAATGTTTATCAAGTACAGTTTCTCAAAACTATATTTTTTATAACATATACACTATTTAGGGATTTTTTTTGACATATACACTGGGGATGGTTCACTTTATTTTTTTATGTTTTTTTTTTTTAATGTTTTTATTTATTTCTGAGAGGGAGAGAGAGAGACAGCGTGAGCAGGGGAGGGTCAGAGAGAGAGGGACACACAGAGTCTAAAACAGGCTCCAGGCTCTGAGCTAGCTGTCAGCACAGAGCCTAACGCGGGACTCAAACCCACGAACTGTGACATCATGACCTGAGCCAAAGTCAGACGCTTAACCGACTGAGCCACCCAGGCGTCCCTGGGGATGGTTCACTTATAAGGATTTCCTCTATAAAATTTAATAGCTACATTTCCTTGTTTATTTCAAATAATATCTTATGTTTTGCACTCATTAGGAGGATACAGAGAGGAATAAAAAGGTCAGATTTTTTTTTTTCAATCAGTAAAGCAATCCCATAATATTTCTATTTTAAATTATATAGCTTCAAGGACATATAAGTTCTTTTATTCCAGGACATAGAAGTTCTTTTAAAAAAATTATTTTAAGTAGATGTCAGCCTCTATTTAGCTGGTTGTCTACCAAAATCTTTTCTCTGAATCTTCTATAATAATGAGATTATAGCTGGGCAAAAGATTGTATAGTACGAATTTATTTCACAGTCCCCTTTGAAGTCAAAGGGGTTATACGATGATGTTTTACCAACAGATTGTGTCCAGGGGGACTTATGTTATTTTTAGATCTGGGCATAGGTCTTCCAAGTTCTCTCTCTCTTATATCCTGAAACATGCATCTGGAAGTAACCTATTTCTACCATGCAAATATACCAATGACCTCGGGTAGAGTAAAAGAACACGAGAACAGGCTCTGACCTGTGCAGCAACACTTCCTAACATACTGCATCAGAAATATTATATAACAGAGAAGAAGAAATATTCCACTGTTTTTAATAGTCAAAGGATTGGATTTCTTGCTCCTTAACAATACTCTTCACCATAATTAAAGGCAGATCCATTAACTGTAAAAGACAATAGAGTTTATATGTTTAAAATTATGAACTTAAAAATAAAGTGAGGAGAACTGGAAAACAAAAGGCCCAATTTCTCAGTCCCAATATGAAATGGGAAATGGATTGTTGTTAAAATTCTTCTTTCAAAGAGCTCAGTTTTTAGAGTAGAATGCTAATCATTCAAACAAGAAGTCAGTACCAACAAACTTACTGTTGTCTTCTCAAATTTTCTCTAAAGAATGACAGATGTCTGAGACTTTGAATACACAAAAGGACTTTCTTACTAATAAGTTATCATGAAATAAGCAAAGATTATACAGATAAGTAGATTCTGAACATAAATTTTATAATAAGCAAATCTGCTATACACTGCGCACAATGTAGTTCAATTCTGATCATTGGGAAATGATAACCTCAGTTTAGGCAGAAAATCTGAAATTTGAGCATGACTAATTCTTTAAAGTCAGACATGTTTTTTACATAAGTATCGTCCTTGGTCCATTATTTCCAGTAAATATACTCATATACTGTCTATATCAGATAGATCAGATATATATCAAAAAAGCAAGTTTATAGTAGAAAAATCAGACTTTGTAACTAATTGCTAAACAGAAAATTAGTAAATTGTGTCACTCATTTATGACATTTTGTGACAAATTATCAGTGAAAATTTGTTCCCTTTAGCATAATAGACAACAGTATTTTGGCATCAGAATCAAAATTGCGCTAATAATTATTTAGAATGTACTGATAATTCATTAAAAAGTTGGTATTTTTTGTAAAAAAAAATAAAAAAATTAAAAGTTGGTATTAGTTTCATCATGGCAATACTCCTGAATTGGCAAACCTATGTCTAACACTAAACAAGACAGAAAATCTTTTCCAGTATTCTTCAAATACGTTATTACTATAAATGTGTTCAAGAAGTTTAACGAGGAAAGCTTGCTCCATGAAGTACTCATTTCATATTACTTTGACTTACATCCTAATTTTTTAATAGAGAATACGATAAAGTATAGTTTTGTGAATAGGAGCCATAAAAAAATGGTGTTAAAAACGTCAATCTTGGGGTGCCTGGGTGGCTCAGCTGGTTAAGCATCCAACTTCTGATTTTGGCTCAGGTCATGATCTCACAGTTTGAGGGACTGAGCCCTGCATCTAGCTCTGTGCTGACAGCACGGATCCTGCTTGGAATCCTCTGTTGCCCTCTCTTTCGGTTCCTCCCCTGCTCATATGTTCTAAATAAACAAGTAAATAAACTTAAAAAATTATTTTTAAAAATGCCTATCTTTCTTACTAGATTTATTTGCTAATGTGACATACATTTGTTGCTTATTTCTATAAATTATAAGCCCTCTTCTTTGTGCAAAAAATTATGAAAACAAAATGTCAAGGTATGATAATCTGAAGTTTTAGTTTATTTTTAGATCGAAAAAGATCTGAGATCAAACTTTTCTAAAATCAAATTTACCCATTTCTTTAAAAATAGGTACATATTTTGATATGACAAAACATCTTGTATATTGTTACATGATGCTTTATTAGTTATCAGCAGAAAAATTCAACAAAGTTGAAATATATGTTAGCCTTAACCCATCTTACGGGGCATTTTGGTTTCAGAATTTTTTTAGGACTTATGCTCGAAAGTTGTCCTCATTTTTTTGTACATGTGCCTCATTTTCCAAGTTTTTTTTCACCACACTTACATTATACATTATTTTAAGACAAAAGGTGCTTAAAAACTACGTAAGCTACACATTTTCTTGGTTGTTGAATATTCCTAATTTGGTACAAGTGGCAAATATTCTTGAACATTTTGAAGCATTATTCCTTTAGTATATAGTGCTTTATTCCTCCTATTTACTTACAAGGAGTGAAAACTGTCAACTCACTGAAAGAATATATTTCTTTGCTAACAAAAAATCATATGGGAGCAAAGAACAGAAGGCAAAGTGTCCATAAAATATCCATTTACGACTTTCACTCATTTTAGATTGTAGTTCTCATTGACAGACCACTTATTTTGTAGCAGCATTTTACATATACCATCTCAATAAAATTTATATTTTGAGGTAGATGTTATGTTCGTTTTAATGATGAGAATACTAAGGTTTAGAGAGATTAATCTAAACCCAAATTTACAGTTAAGTAGCAGTAGAGTTGATAGGGGGTTTTCCTAATCTTCAATACCTACTGCCTCCAAAACTATTTTACTTCTTTCACTACTAGAAAATAAAGTAAGGGTGGCAGAAACACTTTTCATACACCTACCTATTCTCAGCAATATTCTTCTCATACTTTTCGGTTCTAGGGGAAGATTTGAATATTCACAACTAATATCAACTACCTTTAAGCAAAATGCACAGTGTCTTCAAAACCCAGGAAGAGAAAAATCAAAAAAATACTTTCGGTGGTACTTTTTTTGGTAACATATGTAATATATTTGAAACCGGTGGAGTATATCGCAAATAAAACAGTAACTCTAATTTATGATTTAATCTCTAGCTCTAACAAAAACTTCTCATGATTTTTTTCTTCAACTGATGTTTTTCCTCACTTAAACACTGTAGTATACCCATGATTTTTATGTGGTACAATGATACCCTTTTCACTAGTCAGCAAAACGCAAAAAAGTGAATTTAGAACTTTCTTCGTTAATTTTTTTTCTTTTTTCTTTTGCCAATGAAACCACAATTGAGACTTAAATCACTTTCTGGGGCTTCTGATATTCAAATAATTTACACCTTCTTAAAATTATTAAATGCAGAAGGCAAAGTCGCCATGTACCAACTATGTTCTAATGCCTAAAATGTAATAAAAATATTTAGATTATCTAATCTTTATTTAAAACAATCATTTACATAAAGCAAAAATGATAGCTGACAACGAAAAACTAGTCAGTTATTAAAACATGTAAAATTTATACGTGTCACGTATATATCTTAAATGTGTAAAAATGTAACACACTTCGAATAACAGTCGTGGGATGTTTCTAGATTACTTTAACGCACCAGATTTATTTACCAATTTAAAGGATCAGTTATAGGCAGATACTTTAAAACCGCCCTGGGGGTAAACAAATCAGTATATATTAGATGTTTAAGGACTAGAGCGGGGGCAGACATAGAGTTCCTAAATATAAATATTAACTTTTCAATAAAAAGGTGGTACTTCATAGGCTATCCAAGAAATACCGACTTATGAAAGCAAATGCTGGCCACTTAAGACATAATGGGCGGAGGTTTCAGGGGACCAAAGTATGAACAACAAATTCAACCGATTCAAAATGCATTACTCAGTCCTCAAAGAACCAAAACAGGAAGGGGAAAAAAAGAAGCAAAACCCTAAACAAGAGGTCCTCACACCCCTTGAAAAGTTCAAGCATTAGGAGGTGTTGACGGGCACCCATTTCTCGCTGTTGTAAAGCCCGCCCCTCCGTTTCCAGGCCTCAACCCGTGGAAACCAGCAGGAGCCAGAGGCAGAAGCTCTGCAGTGTTGGGGTGGCTCGGGGGGCCGCGCACCCTCTCAACCCCGGCGCCGCGGACGGACGCCAAGTCCCCCCGGGCAGGGTCGGGCGGCAGGCGGAGGGCGCTGCTGTCCAGTCCCGCAGCTCGGGGCCCAGGGCGTTGCTAGTCTGGGGAGCCGCAGGCGGAGGAGGGGCCGCGCGAGGCCCCGCCTCTCAGCGGCCGTGGCCTCCGGCTACAGCCAGCGCTCGGGGCGCTCGGGGGACACTGGGGGCTCCGGGTCCGGGGCTCGCAGGCCTGGCTCTGGTACGCGCAAAGGCGGCTCGTCCTTGTCGCCACGCGGGCGCGGCCCCCGCTGCTCGAGGTGCAGCTGCAGCAGGGCCCGGCGGTACATGGCCTCCAGCTTCTCGAGCCGGGCTCTAAGGGCCCTGGGGCTCCCAGGCTCGTCCTCGAGGCCGCCGCCTCTCGGCCTCCGGTTCGTGCCGGCCTTCTCTGGGCCTGAGGTGGCCCCGGCCGCCTCCGCGTCCGCCCCGTCGCCGCCCGCGCCGGGAAGCTGCAAGGCCTGACGGAAGAGGCTGCGGTTCTCGCGCTTCAGCCTCCTGTTTTCAAGCCGCAGCCGGGCGTTCTCCTCCCGCAGCCGCGCGTTCTGCCGGTCCCGCTCGTCCCGGGCGCGGATGGCCTCCAGGTGGCTCGCCGCCAGGTCTGCGAACCGCTCCTCCAGCTGCTGTCGGGCGCCGCCCGCACGGCCTCGCCAGCCCACGCCGCCTCCGAAGCCGCCACCCCCAGGAGCCCGGCCCGGGCGGCCCTGCCCGCGGCTGTCCCCGCCGCCGTCCCCGCCGCCGTAGCTCCCGCGCCTGGTGGCGCCACCACGCATGCGCCACATCGGTTCTGTCCCAACCGCGCCGCCAGCGCCGTGGGCCGAGGGGCCAGCGCCGCGGCGCGGGCGAGTTCGGGGCCCGGCGGGGCGGCCGGGGCCACAGCGGAGGAGGAGACGAGGCGGCGGGCGGCGGCTGCTGGCTTGGGGCCAGAGGGGGCCGGGAATTTGCCCGGCCTGAGGCGTGTCTTGTCTCCTGTGGCGGAGCTGCCCCCTGGGCCTGCGATCCGCGGCCGGCTCACACACAGTGCCCCCGGGGAGCGCTCTGCCGTTCAGCCCTCTGGCCGGGCTGGGGGAAGAGCGCGTCTCCTCCGCTGGGTTGTGCCGGGCGCTTCCGTGCAGGCCTGGGCACTGCAGGAACCAGCCGGCCTCGCCCTGCAATCCAGCGCAAGCACCAGTGGTTACCTTCCTCCGTACACGACAGCCTCAAAGCAAATAATAATCATGAAATGGTGAGGTCTGAAACAGACAGGGGCAGGTTGAAAAGATGTAACTACTTCGTTTAGAACACAGCGTTTTAACCCACCTCTAACCTCACAAAACATTCCATGGGATTGAACACCTGTCATGAGGACCTCAAATGGGAACAGGCATCTCTCAAAACAATATAGGCAATTTCCAATTTGTGAACAACCAGTACTCCACTCTGCAAATTGTTTGCAACTCTATAGAAACTAGGTTATATATAATTAGTTGTTTTGCTCAAGCTGAGCCACAAAACCCAAGAAACTCAAAATATTCAAGAAACTTTGAATACTAAGTTCCAAAATATCTGGTGACAGGTGGATACAACTCGTTGAATTACATTCCTTACTTTAAGGAGTTCAAGTTATAGAGTAACTGGATCATTGCAAAGTAAATTCAGGAAAAGACGCTGATACCAGAATCTCATGGAAGACAGAGGTGGTAGCAAGAATTTTTGTTTTGTTTTGTTTTTATTTATTTCTGAGAGAGAGAGAGGAAGCATGAGCAGAGAAGGAGACACAGAATCTGGAGGGCTCAAACTCATGAGCCATGGTATCATGACCTGAGCCGAAGTTGGATTCTTGACTTACAGAGCCACCCAGGCACCCCATTATTTTTTAATTTATAAAACTATCACATTTATTAAAGAAGAAATCTTACCTTTTTCTTAAGAGTAGCTTAAAGGACAGTGCATATGAAATCAGAAAAGAACAATATATATCCTTTGACACTTTTTCCTATTTAGTTAGCAAGTAATTTTCCTGGTTAGATATTCCCATTCTTAAAGCATAGGTGTCTAGCATGGTGTTTTTTGTTTGTTTGTTTGTTTCTCTCCTAATTTCTACCTCCTATTTGAAACATTAGTGGAATCTCCATTAACTGTCAGCTGACTGTTCATTGATAATCACCATGACCGTTCTTGATAGCTTTTAGTTGGATCATCCTCTCTATATTTTTTCCTTTTTTTGTCCTGTTCTTTCTGCTTTTTCTTCTTTTCTTTTAATAAGATAAATACAGTTACATATACCATATATCGGACCTAGAGGACTAGTATTAATGGATTCTGTCTGTTGGGAGGATACATGTATAATCAGATTAGTCACCATTTAAATATATTGAACATGTGGAAAACTTTACCAGATCCTCTGTTTAATCAGTTTTATCTGCATTTCATAATATTTTATATTTGCTTCATTAATTTTACAAAGCTAAAGAGTGTACTTTGGGGTTGATTCCGGTGTAGGGAGGAAGCACAGAGGCCTTCGAACACACAGTGTTCTTTAGGACACCGGGTATGGTTCATTACAATGGTCAATTACAAAAACTTGATTAACTTTGTGTTTTCCCCTAAGTTATTTATTTTTATTTGTGCGGTTCAGTGAAAATCCCAGCTCTGTGAATGTGTCATACATGTTCTTTTTGTTTATGGTTTGAAGACTTCAGTGAATCTAAGGCTTATCTGGGCTCTTGTTAAAAAATATTTTTGCGGGGCACCTGGGTGGCTCAGTCGGTTAAGCATCTGACTTCGGCTCAGGTCATGATCTCACAGTTCGTGGGTTCAAGCCCCCCATCGGGCTCTGGGCTGACAGCTAGCTGAGAGCCTGGAGCCTGCTTCGGATTCTGTGTCTCCCTCTCTCTGCCCCTCCCTTGCTCAGTCTTTCTCTCAAAAATAAGTAAATATTAAAACAATAAAAAAGTAAAAATAAAAATAAAATATACTCATCATGGACAGGCTGGAAGGGCCCCAATATGGATCCTGACCAGAATTAAAACAATGACTACTTTGCATTCAGAAAAAAAATTTTAACAAAATATAAACTCCAATGGACCATTTGCATGTTGTGTTTACAAACCAAGCCTGAAGATTATTCTTTTAAAGTTACGAAATTTAGAGTAAAATATCAGAAAATGCAAGTCATTTAGAGTTTTTGATTTTGCTACTTCCCTGAAATTACTACTTTTTCTTTTTACTTCTTTTTCTTATTAAGAGGATTTCATATTTAGGTTTTTTTGTTTCCTCCTCTACACTTTCACTGCCTACTGTGTTAATAACTGAACAACTTAAATTTAATTTTAAAAAGTATTCTTCCTCCTGCCATAGGTAAGGAAAAATATCAATAGATGAGGTTATGATCACTGTGCTTATTAACACAAGGCTTTAAACCAATATTTTTGTAAATACTGTGGTTGAGAAAAGCTAGGTCAGCAAGTTGGAGTGGCACTGCTTTTTGCCGTATGAGTCTATTTTAGTATTTCCCCAAACCAGTTCTGACTGACAGCTGTTAAGTTTACTGCCTCCTTTCTCCTATCCTCCAAAAAATTTCTTCTTACCATTCATGGTAGCTATTCTACATGTCTAGGTGCTTGCTTGAGAAAGAGGCCCTGTGATGTATAGTTTATTTCTTGTGTCCCTAGTTGATTTCTAAGATCTTTTAGCGTCAGACTGTACTCATTTGACACTCATTTCTCAATTTCGAATCACACTTCTTATGAAATGAGTTGTATGTTAAGGCGGTTTATGGCACATTCACATTGGGACAAGTAATCTTACATCTATTTGTTCCCACTCTCCTTAAAACATCTGATAACACCACTCCAAATGAATTTTGGGTAACAACTTCATCAAGTTCAATTATATAACAATGTTGAACACCTTAGTCTGGCAGTTATGGCTAATATGGATGTGCTGGGTGTTTCTATATGTACCTTCTATTACTCCCCTGCTGGCCTATTCATGCTCCTACCAAGAGTCATTGAACTCTTTTGCTCTGGAGTTTGGCTGTAATATACTTATGTGGACTGAACTGTGTTCTCCCAAAATTCATATGGTGAAGCACTAACTACTAAGGTGATAGTGTTTGAAATGAGCCTTTAGGAGGTAATTTTTAAATTTATTTTTTAATGTTTATTTATTTTTGACAGAGAGAGAGAGCAAGAGAGAGCAGTATAGAGACAGAGGGAGAGGGAGACACAGAACCTGAAGGTGGATCCAGGCTCTGAGCTGTCAGCAAAGAGCCTGATGCAGGGCCTGAACTCATGAACTGTGAGATCATGATATGAGCCAGAGTTGGACTTAACTAACTGAGCCATCCAGGGACCCATAGGAGGTAATTAGGTTTACAGGAGGTTACAAAGGTGAGGCTCTCCTGATGGGATAAGTGCCCATAGAAGAAAAGACATCAGAAAACTTCTGCTTGCTCTCTCTCTCTGCCATATGAGCACACAGCCAAATCTAACAAGGCTGACTTTATCCTCTATGATTTATACATTATATGGGTTAATACTCCTACCTTCACTTGTCTTAGATTCCTTGAATTCAAAATATTTTCCCCTCTTAATTTTTTTTAAGGTTTATTCATTTTTCAGAGACAGTATGTAAGGGGATGGGGAAGAGCAGAGGGAGAGGGAGTCACAGAATCCCAAGCAGGCTGCAGGCTCTGAGCTGTCAGTACAGGTTGGAATTCACAGACCGAGAGGTTGGAACTCATGGACCCTGAGATCATGACCTGAGCTGAAGTTGGACACTTAACCAACTGAGCCACCCATGTGCCCCTCCAATCTTTTACACACTGATAAAGTCATCCCTGTTCCAGCACTTGGATGCAGAAGTCCTTCCCTGTGTTAACATTTCTTGTGCAAGTGGATCTGTAAATAGAATATAAGTTCCTAAATATCTCTATCTATCTATCTATCTATCTATCTATCTATCTATCTATCTATTTATCTATCATCTATTTATCTACCTACCTACCTGGATGTCTGTCTGTCTGTCTGTCTGTCTATCTACCTACCTACCTACCTACCTACCTACCTACCTACCTACCTACCTACCTACCTATCAGGACAGATAGATAGAACAAGAGGGAGAGAGAGTAACCAAGTGAGTGATACAAATATTTCTTGAACAACTAGTATGTTGAAAGCAGGTATACCTTATTTTCCTATGTAGTTATAAAGGAGAATGGTACCAAGTAAAACTGCTAACCACTTAACAGTAAAGTTAACCTATGTATCTAGCAGACTGAGCTAACAGAACTCACCAAGAAAGGTTTGTAATGTGCTAGAATTACTCAGACTGAAATAAGTAGGTTGGTACTGCCTCATTAATGACTTGTCTTAATGTATCTTGGGTTTTTATAGTAAATTTTTAAATATGTAATAAATGAGAGGTATGGCTTTCGGAGGAAGACATGCACACCTGGATTTGATCAATATTACAACCCTCCCACCCCAGATTATTGGCCTCAGACAGCCTCCTGTCACCATAGCTTCCTCATTTACACAATGGGAATAAAATAGTATCTAGCTCATGGAGTTCTTGTTAGGATCTCTGAACATCTTAAAATAGAGTCAGCCAGCAAGGAGTACTCATAACTGTTGATATTATTATTTTGTAGTTGCTTTATTTTATGAGCTAGCCATTTATAGAATGAGTTCTTCTGAATAGCCAGTGCTATTTAAAAACCCTCATCTGAGTTATGTGCCTAAGGAGCCACCCTAAATATAATATGCAGCCCCTTTGCAGATATGATTCTTCTCTCTTGATAGTTCTCATTAAGTGTTTGGGTTTTAAAAATCCATATTTTGTAAGCCCCAATGTGCTGAAGAGTTTGGATAATAACATTTTGAGCTTGGTGTTTGCTAATATTCTCTCTAAAGCCCGAGCTGAACATAGTTTATTTTCTAGGAACAGATTTATTAGGGCAATGAAGAACATATATTGATGCTTGGTAGCATGAATATCCCTTTATTGGAATAATTACT